GAGGAATGTATGGGTTAATGCAAATGAAACATTTTACCTTGTTCTTGACACTCAGGAAGGGCCAAATAAATGTTGAACTGTATAATCAAAGAAGAACTAAAAAAAAAAAAAAAAATGGAGAGACAGTCCTTGTTCTTGGATAGACTTAATATTGTCAAGTTGTCAGCTCTTCCCAGCTTGATCTATAGAGTCAATGTACCACCAATCAAAATCCCAGCAAGTTATAAACTGATTCTAAACATTATGTGGAAAGGCAAAAGACACAGAATAGCCAATACAATACTGAAGGAGAAGAACACAGTTGGATGACTGACATTACCTAACTTCAGGACTTACTATAATGCTACAACAATCAAAACAGTGTGGCGTTGGTGAAAGAAATGACAAATCAATGGAACACAATAGAGAGCCCAGAAATAGATGAATATAAATATGGTCAAGTGATCTTTGACAAAGCTTCAAAGACAATATAATAGAGCAAAAATAGTCTTTTCAACAAATGGTGCTGGGACAATTGGACATGCATGTGCAAAAAAAAATAAAGAATCTAGACAAAGACCTTACAGTCTTCACAAAAATTATCACAGACCTAAATGTAAGAGGTAAAACTGTCTTCTAAAACTCCTAGAAGATAACATTGGGAAAAAATCCAGATGATCTTAAGTTTGGTGATGATTTTTTAGATATGACACCAAAAGCATGATTCATGATGTATTAAATATATGGGAATTCTCCATACCTTCCTGTCAATTTTGATTAAAACCTAAAACTGCTCTAAAAAATAAAATTGATTTAAAAAATTGCACTAGTGGCAATAACCATAATCGTAACCATAATAATATTAATAGTACCAGTGACATTATTGCTACCATTACTAATATCCTTCTCCTTACAGTCTCTCTTCTTTTACCAAAATGTTGACATTCCCTGGAAACACAGTGCCCTTTTTATGCTTCTGTGTTGTTTCACTTTTGCTTTCTCTACCAAGAATGCCTTCTCCTGCTACTCCCACCCCCCTCTTCCTCCCCTAAAAAACTCCTCCTCATTCATAGTCAAGTTTTAGAGGAAACTTCAACACCCGTATGAAGCTGTCTTCAACTCTCCCAGGTGGACTCTGGTATCTGTTCTCTCAGACTCCCATTGCCTCCTTCTTCAGACTGACACTCCAACAGTGATCTCATTACACCATAATTGTTTGCAGGCCTGTCTCCTTTATATTTAAAGCAATGAAGAATTCAAGCCCCTGTTCATTGCTTTGAATGTGTAGCATGGCATTAGAATAAAGAAGATGTTTAATAATTACTAATTGAATGACTATATTAAAGATGCTTCGGGATCAACAGAGAAGCATACAAATACATATACCATTGGAGAAGAATGGAATAATTTTTTTAATTGAAGTCTAGTTGATTTACAATACTGTGTTAGCTTCAGGTGTATAACATAGTGATACAGTAATTTAGTTATACACATATATGTGTATACCTATTTTCTCTTTTATTCTTTTCCATTTTAGCTTATTATAAGATATTAATATAGTTCCCTGTGCTTTACAGTAAATCCTTGTTTATTCTAATCTCATACTCCCAATGTATCCCTCCTCTACTTCTCCTGTGGTCACCATAAGTTTGTTTTCTATGTCTGTGAGTCTGTTCTGTCTTGTAAATAAGTTCATTAGTGTCATTTTTTTACATTCCACATATAAATGATATCCTATCATATTTGTCTTTTTCTATCTGACTTACTTCAGTTCAGTTCAGCTCAGTTCAGTCGCTCAGTCGTGTCCAAAACTTTTCGACCCCATGAATCACAGCACGCCAGGCCTCCCTGTCCATCACCAACTCCCAGAGTTTACTCAAACTCATGTCCATTGAGTCAGTGATGCCATCCAGCCATCTCATCCTCTGTCGTCCCCTTCTCCTCCTACCCCCAATCCCTCCCAGCATCAGGGTCTTTCCCAATGAGTCAGCTCTTCGCATGAGGTGGCCAAAGTACTGGAGTTTCAGCTTCAGCCTCAGACCTTCCAATGAACACCCAGGACTGATCTCCTCTAGGATGGACTGGTTGGATCTCCTTGCAGTCCAAGGGACTCTCAAAGAGTCTTCTCCAACACCACAATTCAAAAGTATTAATTTTTCGGCACTCAGCTTTCTTCACAGTCCAACTCTCACACCCATACATGACCACTGGAAAAACCATAGCCTTGACTAGATGGACCTTTGTTGGCAAAGTAATGTCTCTGGCTTTTTAATATGCTGTCTAGGTTGGTCATAACTTTCCTTCCAAGGAGTAAGCGCCTTTTAATTTCATGGCTGCAGTCACCATCTGCAGTGATTTTGGAGCCCAAAAAAACAAAGTCTGCCACTGTTTCCACTGTTTCCCCATCTATTTGCCATGAAGTGATGGGACTAGATGCCATGATCTTAGTTTTCTGAATGTTGAGCTTTAAGCCAATTTTTTCACTCTCCTCTTTCACTTTCATTCACTTAGTATGATAATCTCTAGGTCCTTCTATGTTTCTGCAAGTGACACTATTTCATTCATTTTATGGCCAAGTAATATTCCAGGGTGTGTGTGTGTGTATGTGTGTGTGTGTGTGTGTATACCACATCTTCTTTATCCATTCATCTGTCTATGGACAGTTAAAGTGCTTCCATGTCTTGGCTATTGTAAACAGTGCATACTGTTTACAATGTTTGCTGCAGTGAACACTGGAGTGCCTGTATCTTTTCGAATTAGAACTTCCATCTTTTCCATATATATGCCCAGGAGTGGGATCGCTGGATCATATGGTAATGCTATTTTTAGTTTTTTGAGAAACATCCATTCTGTTTTCAAGAACAATGTAATTTCTGACGTGTAAACATCCCATCCATCTTTAGAAGCCTGGCTTCTTCTACTTCTGTGAAGTTTTTCCTAACACCTTCATCTGTGCTTCTGGTAGTAACATCCTGAATAATGTTGGTTCATACATTGTCCTACAACATTCTTTAAATACTTCACTTCTGATCCTGGTTTTCCCAACAAGACTAAAAGTTTCTTAAAGATAAGCATCATCCTACATTTAATATAATCTAACATGCCAGTAGTTTACCAGACAAACCACAGCATATGGGCAGTCTCTCAAGACACCAAAATGTTAACTGCTCCCATTAGGCCACGCCAGATCAGATAAGAACTCTGAAAATATTAACTTTGAAGTTTGATGACCACTTGAAAAGGATTAGCTGTAAATGCCTAAAAGTCACACTAATACATAAGAACAGTGTTTTTCTAACAACTAGAATTAATAATCTTTGATGTAGTTCTGGTATTTACATTAATTCTTCCTCCATAAAAAATAGGTCAAAACAAACCTTAGATAGGCGTGACTGAGAACAATACTTTAATCAATCGCTTCTTTTTTAGTGCCACTTATGTATCCCCTAACTGTCTGATACCATCCTTGCCCTTAGTCTTTGGTTAAAAGGTCAGCCATTTAAATCAGGGCTTTATCCTAATGCAGAGATTTCTGTCTCTCTGTAGCTGCTCCCAAGTCTATGTGTACAGTCTTCATCCTACCTAGGTAGCTACTGGGCTGTCATCCTCTCAAATAATTCCAGCTCCTCCTGTTCCGTGTATTGATAAAATATAAAGAGGTTTTACATAGGCACTCTTAAGTGCCTCCTGTAATTATTTGACACCAGAAATAGTCTTTCTTACTCTTAAATGTGAGTATATGCTTATTCTACAACATCTCCCCCCAATAAACCCTCCCTCCACACACCACCCAAGCTGGGATGGTAGTTTCCTTGAGATCTGGGACTTCTGGTAGGAAGAAAATAATTCCAGATTCAGTACTACCTAGAAAAGTTTTCTCTACGACCTTGACACTGTGACTCTGTGTCTTATGTTCACCCCTTCCATACCCATTATATGAGGGCTCCCCCAGCACAAGAGCAAGCACAGAGGTGGCCAAAAATCCACATGTGTTGACATGAACAGGTGAGGAATTGATCAGTCAACAGGTACCTTCAGATTACCTGTATGCATTTATCCTGTATGTGTTTTTAGCTGTTACGATAGATATGCAAAAACTATATGTAAAGTCTTTAGATTCATGAAGCTAACACATTTTATTGAGAACCTACTGGGGCCAAGTCACTCAGTGCCCATCAGAATCTGAGACTTGTGGAAGAGACCTGAAGACAGGTGAAAACAGGAAGTATAATACATTGAAAGGGACAGAACCAGTAAAGACCACCACTAGACAGAAAAGAGTTTGTCACGTCTCTGTGGTTGTTCATCATCTCTCTGACAGAGCTCAGCGAGGTTCAGATGGTCAGAGAGGGCTTCACAGAATCTGTGGAAGAACTAGGTGGTTGCTGCCAGTCCCAGGCAGTAAAGAAAGGTTTCATGAAAATGTACTTTTAAATATACATTCTTGTCCCAGCCAAGAGAAGCCTAAAGAGACATGATGATTCTATGTAATATGGTGTCCTGAATGGGATCCTGAACAAAGAAAAAAAATTAGGTAAAATCTGAATAAACTATAGACTTCAGTTATCAATACAGTATTACTATTGATTTACAAATTATAAGAAATATACCATATGAATATGAGATGTTAGTCATAGAGAAATTGAGTTTCAGATATGTGAGAACTCCCTGTACTATCTTCTCAATTTTCCTGGAAGTCTAAAGCTGCTCTGAAAACTAAAGCCTATTTTAAAAGGAAATAAAAGCGGTCATAAAAATCTACAGAATACCCCTGGCATGGTGACAAGGAGGAGTCAGCTTGACAATTACCCTTTTTTGAAAGAAGTGACTTTGTTGTTAAATGCCATGTTTGTGGCTTGATCGTCAATTCCTATAACGATACGGAGTTCTTGCTTGCTTTTCCGTGGTTGATTTTTGGCAGGCAGCAGCAGCATTTGTGCACTGATTATAATTTTGAGATGCATTGTCAGTAACCAGGGTGCATAATGGATCTTCATCTCTAATTACTTTTCTCTCCACAGGTGTCTGGAAAGGGTCCAGATGGGAACACACACAACCTCCGCTTTGAGGGGATGGAGCGACAGTACGCCTCCTTACCCAGGTACATCACCGAGGGGTCTCCCCTCACCTTCTCACCCACACGTAAAGTCTTTAGAAAAATCTCCATGAAATAGAAATCTGGCTTTGAAATGAGGAATATGTTATAATTTTGCCTTACCTCCGCCTGCCACAACCCTCGTGCCATCCTCACAACTGTGCTAATAATTGAAACACTTGTGGGTTATTTTTTAAGGGAAGAAAATAGTATATCATTGCAATTGAACATGTCAGCAAGAATATTGGATTCCGAATGGAAATCCTAAGCCATTGCTATAAAAATGGTATTGAACAGCCTGAACCCAGCTTAGAGACAATAAAATAGTAAATCCTCTGTCCTAGGAATTACCCATGAGGAAGGGCATGCCAGCCTTAACCTTGGAGCTTCCTGTGGGTGTTAAAAAGCAGGAGAGAAATGTGACCCTGGGAAGGTGTTTTTCGCTTGATTTAGAACCTGGCTGAGTTCTCTGGGCAAAAGGCAAATATTGCTGAGAGGACCTGACCTGGTGAGGGGAAGAGACCTCTGGGTGGGAACGTTCGCTTGGTGATTCTGGCCTAACAAAAGCCACTTATGCTATAACTAGACACCCTGAAAATGAGATACCATTGTCAAAGGTTTGTCCTCTTATTGGGGAGATGAAGAATAATTTTAGTCTGCAATCAGTGACACATGACAATGGAGAAGCCTTTCCAGGATGACGTAGACTTCAGCGACCATGGGAGTTAAGTGAGTTGAGTGTGAGAATGTGTGAGTTTGAAAAACAAAAACAAAGAAATGTTAATGCCAGCCAGAAAACTAAAATATTACAGAATGTCCCCTTTTAAAAAGAGGGGTGCAGGTGGACCCTAAGCAGAGCCTTTCCATCATCAAACTGAGTTGTTAAAGTGCTAGCTCACGGCTGGGTTACCATTTTGAGTTGCGTGTTGACTATATTTCTGTGTGTGAATTGACAAGAATAACATCCTGAATATTACAACAAGCATAGCATAAGTGACCATCTGCTCTTATAAATAGTATGTTGATTTTCAAAGTAATAAAATCTCAAATCTAGCAGAGAACCGATTTTGAACACTGATTGAGCAGGATACCCAAAATACAATATTTTAAAAGCTTCTGTACAACTATATTTTGTCTCCCTGATTTCTCTTTTTATATGTTGTCTCATAGTTATTTTTCTCATCCTCGATTTCTTTCCTCTTCTGATTTTTCCTCCTGGCCTAGTATTTTGTTTTCATCTTAAGAAATAGAAGTAGTCTCCAAAACTCATTTTAAATATAAAATTTCTGGCTTTCAATATTGAAGTGTGTGGAAATTGTGGTTAAGGCAGATGGAAAGTACTGTTCTTAGAAGAGGAAGAAAAAGGAAAACTGGAAACAGTTTAATGTCTTTCCTGGCCAACTTGTACTCAGACTGCGGAAATGGATTTTTTTTGGGTACAAATCAAAAGCATAGACATAGCATTTATAAGTACAGAAATTCTGTAAATTTCACTCATTCATTCCTTCCTCAAGTATCTATGGATCATCTACTGTGTATAAGGCCCTGAGAATCTGGAGACTGGCCCCACTGTCTAGGACAGGAGATAGCAGGTCCACTTTTTGTGAGAGTGCAACCAATGCTTAGACGAGTAATAATGAACATAAAGTTCTCTGAATTTCCAACTCCTTTTTATGTTTACTAATAAGCCCTGAAATGCACAATCATGGCTGACTCTAAACACGTCTGTTTTAGGATTAAATACTGTGGAAGGAGTTTTTTGACAGAGGCAATACATTGATGCTGTTTGTGAATCTGAGGACTGCCATCACAATATATGCATTGACAAAATCCTGCCAGCATTAAGAATATAACTGTAGGCCAAAGCAAAACATCTTAGACTGAAAACAGTTTTGACAAACAGTCCACTCACACACGTAACACAGTGGCAAAAGTGATGGGCTACGGGTGCCGACGTACCTTTTTAGATTCCTGGTAAGAAAGAGGCATGATGGAGAATAAATAAGGCTCAGACAAGTGCGTAAGCTGTCCCTGGCACTGATTTTTTTTAATGCAGGGGCTCAAACTTGAGTTTGCATATCAACATCTAAGGGGGAGATGCCGAGAATCCCACCCACATGCTCTAATCCATCGAGGGGGGTCCATATTTACCCAACAAGATGCAAATGCCTAAACAGGAGACAGACTACTGGCTTCTGTGTGCCAGAGACATTTACCCCAACCTGCCCCTAGAGATTTTACTGTCCATTTAATTGAATCACACCAGCTCCACTGCTCCTTTGTCAGGGGAGTGAGGGGACCACATCTCTGCAGGCACCGGATCCCCTCTTAGTCACAGAGGTGGGGAGCTTTAAAATATTTATGGAGCTAAATTTTTATTAAAAATAGGAATAATTCTACTTATAGGAAGTCAGCAGCCAACCTTATTGGGGACTTAACATGCTGCTGACTGATTTGGCTCCTCTGCTGTTTGTGGAGAGCATCACAGGAGTTTTAAGATAAACTTAATAGTGTTGATTTATATGCCAGATTTGGAGCCATCAACACAGAGAGAAAATGCCCAGTGCATGGAGTTGGTGAGGAGCCCTAGTCAAGGGGCACCCTGCTATGTTTCCATGGAACTCCGTCATTTTAAAGGAGGCCAGTACAGCCTGCTGCCAGGCTCAATGACACTTGACAAAATAACACCAGAGCCCTAGCCTGCTCAGGAAAAAAGACAATTCCCAGCACTTGGTAGTTATGGGGTTGCCTAAGGCTAAGGGCTAAGCGATGTTAAGTGTTATTGTTAAGCAATGTTAAATCTTTTACCTCTGAAGAAAAATGACTTTATTTCTTTTCTCCTGAGGGTGCTGTTTTGGAAAGCAGAGCGTGGTTGTAATACAACCTCGTTAGAGAGCACCAGGCTTTTCCCAAGGCCGATGTTTTACCCAGGCCGTCCGGCCCCTGCTTTTCTTTGGTAGTAAACAGAGGGAAATCAGCCTCCCCCTATTCTTGCCTGACACAAATTATTACTCACCCTGGGTGAGCAGGGAAGTGGCTGTTTCCTGGGCTGCTATAATGTGTGAACAACAACGTATGTATTTTTGCAAACAGCTTCTTTTTCACTTCAGCCTCTCAGCCTCTTTCAATTCTCCCAGGCCCCATTCTGATTTTACAGACCTCCTCCTGGTCCGGCCGTTCAGCAGTAAACTCTCTCCGCTCCCATCTCCAGCCTCCGTCATTCCCACCTGGCCCATCCCCGACCCCCACGGGACCCCATTATCCCTTCTCTGCAGATGGCTCCGTGCATCAGCACATGATGTTGCTCTTCCGGTCTTGTAATCAAGTGTTGAGTCCTGAGGAAGGAGCAAAAAGGCTTTCCATCTCTTCTGTGGTCCTGCATGCAAGGGCGATGAAAGGCTGCTGGAGAAACTCAGAAAAGCGTTCATTGGTTCCACTACAAAATTCACATTATCCAGCCCCAGCTGGGCCCCTGCCGCTGTCCAGAATTCCTTTTAGTCGTGCTGTCAACTCCCTTGACTGTCCCACAGTGGCCGTTCCAACCCTTTTCTGCTCCCGTTAAGTTCTGCAAAGATGACTAAGCCCCCCAGGCCCAGTCTCTAGAGATGATCTCACTTCCTTTTCTTTACGACCTTGAGACATTCAACCTTAGTTCCTCAGCTTCAGCTCCCTGCAATTCAGACTCGCTCTGTCTTCACCAGCACACGCTTCCCAAGGGGAGATGTGAAGGCATGGACTTGGAGTCAGGCCATAATTATAGCCCCATCCATCACTTCTCACCTATGGGATCCTGGGCAAGGGTGCAACTGGTTCAGGCTCAGTTTTTTAATCTGCAAATTGGGGGCGATATTAGGGACTCTGTATAATGCTTGTATGAGCATCAAATTCAGTGATTCGAGCAAAACTCTTAGTGAAGAAGCTAGCTGACATATTTTAAGGATTTTTTTTTAATATTGTTAGTTCTTTTTAATTTTCTCTCTGGGAATGACGTGTTCCCTTTTTTAATGAGTCAGACCTGCATAGCAGAGCTCATTCTCACTAGCTTTTCAGGGACCCTACATCATCAACTACCCCTCTCTCGGCTCTATCATTAAGCCCTTGGCAGTGGCTTTCCTCCCTCTGCTTAGGACGGTGAATGCAGAGTCTCAGCTGCGCAGTTCGCTGGGAGCTCCTCAGAGTGCGAAAAAGGAGAACCACTGGCTCAGGAAGATATGCGGGGGCATAACTGAGGCCGAAGGATCAGCCAGCTCTTAGAGAAAGACCCGAAGTCCAGATGCTCATGAAGAGGACATTACAAACTAAGGTGGCCTGCTGGGAGACAGCCGTTCTTATAGACAGGGAGCCCACATCAGGGGCGTGGGAGCTAACTCAGGTCTAGGTAAGAGGCCACGGCCCCTGGCCAACAAGGCTTAGATTCAGACCCAGTGTCTCCTGAGTGGTGGAGCCCCACCACTGTGAATTAGCCAGCAAGGCTGGACACGATGCTCTTGTCGCAGGACTGGTAAGGGAGGGGCCCGCTACTGACCGGTGGGGGAACGTCGTGGGATATGACAGAGATACTCCTGTCAGCTCAGACCTGACACGCTGACCAAGCCTCCAACTGTCAGGACTCATAGCTGAGCCAGGCTCAGGTGGCAGACCGACCCCATGAACTTGATTTTATTCCATCAGAGAAAACAGAAATCTTCCCTCTACCCTCCTTCCTCCTCAAATTCTCATTTTCCTGCTTTTTGGGGAAAAAAATTGGCTCTCTTTCCACACCAGCCTCTGAACTCTCACCTCTTGCCCCAGCCTTCTGACCATGCCACGGATTCACCCAGCTGACTCTGCCTCCAGTTCTTTTTTTTTTTTTAATATTGGAGTGTAGTTGATTTACAATATCGTAGTTTCAGGGGTAGAGCAAAGTAATTCAGTTATACATAGATTTATTCTTTCTAGCCCTGTTTTCTATATAGATTCTCTCTGAACTGCCGTCTCCATTCTCTTTTTTTTAAACTTTAATTTTT